AGGTCTAGAGAGAGATAGTTCGGGTGATCGGCCTGATTTACCCCGGAGTGGTGCAGAGCTGACCCTTGACCCTGAAGTGTGGGAATCACACATGATAATCCCCGTGAAGAGCCTGGAAAGGAAGCGCTCCCGATCTCAGTTCCCCATCAGTGCGGAGACACAGGTTTATCTGCCGCTCCTTTTAAGGCAAACCTCGACGCTCTGCAAGAGGAAGTGCTCTCCTGAATGTGGGATTCGCTTCAGTGTGTGTGTGTGTGTGTGTGTGTGTGTTGGTCGAGGTTAGTGTGTGTGTGTGTGTGTTGGTCGGGTTAGTGTGTGTGTGTTGGTCGAGGTAGTGGGTGTTGGTCGGGTTAAGTTGTGTGTGTGTTGTTCGGGTTAGTGTGTGTGTGTTGGTCGAGGTTAGTGTGTGTGTGTTGGTCGGGTTAGTGTGTGTGTGTGTTGGTCGGTTAGTGTGTGTGTTGGTCGGGTTAGTGTGTGTGTGTGTGTGTGTTGGTCGGGTTAGTGTGTGCGTGTGTGTGTGTTGGTCGGGTTAGTGTGTGTTGTTCGGGTTAGTGTGTGTGTGTTGTTCGGGTTAGTGTGTGTTGTTCGGGTTAGTGTGTGTTGTTCGGGTTAGTGTGTGTTGTTCGGGTTAGTGTGTGTGTGTGTTGTTCGGGTTAGTGTGTGTATGTGTTGGTCGAGGTTAGTGTGTGTGTGTTGGTCGGGTTAGTGTGTGTGTGTGTTGGTCGGTTAGTGTGTGTGTTGGTCGGGTTAGTGTGTGTGTGTGTGTGTGTGTGTGTTGGTCGGGTTAGTGTGTGCGTGTGTTGGTCGGGTTAGTGTGTGCGTGTGTGTGTGCTGGTCGGGTTAGTGTGTGCGTGTGTGTGTGTGTTGGTCGGGTTAGTGTGTGCGTGTGTTGGTCGGGTTAGTGTGTGCGTGTGTGTGTGTTGGTCGGGTTAGTGTGTGTGTGTGTGTTGGTCGGGTTAGTGTGTGTGTTGGTCGGGTTAGTGTGTGTGTTGGTCGGTTAGTGTGTGTGTTGGTCGGGTTAGTGTGCGTGTGTGTGTGTTGGTCGGGTTAGTGTGTGCGTGTGTGTGTGCTGGTCGGGTTAGTGTATGCGTGTGTGTGTGTTGGTTGGGTTAGTGTGTGTGTGTGTTGGTCGGGTTAGTGTGTGCGTGTGTGTGTGTTGGTCGGGTTAGTGTGTGTGTGTGTGTTGGTCGGGTTAGTGTGTGTGTTGGTCGGGTTAGTGTGTGTGTGTGTGTTGGTCGGGTTAGTATGTGTATTGGTCAGGTTAGTGTGTGTGTGTGTGTGTTGGTCGGGTTAGTGTGTGCGTGTGTGTGTGTGTAGGTCGGTCGGGTTAGTGTGTGTGTGTGTGTGTTGGTCGGGTTAGTGTGTGTGTGTGTTGGTCCGGTTAGTGTGTGTCTTGGTCGGGCTAGTGTGTGCGTGTGTGTGTTGGTCGGGTTTGTGTGTGTGTGTGTGTGTGTGTTGATCGGGTTAGTGTGTGTGTGTGTGTGTGTGTGTGTGTGTGTGTAGGTCGGGTTAGTGTGTGTGTGTGTTGGTCGGGTTAGTGTGTGTGTGTGTGTGTGTGTTGGTCGGGTTAGTATGTGTGTGTGTGTGTGTGTTGGTCGGGTAAGTGTGTGTATTGGTCGGGTTAGTGTGTGTGTGTGTTGGTCGGGTTAGTATGTGTGTGTGTGTGTGTGTGTGTGTGTGTTGGTCAGGTTAGTGTGTGTGTGTGTGTGTTGGTCGGGTAAGTGTGTGTGTGTGTTGGTCGGGTTAGTGTGTGTGTGTGTGTGTGTGTGTATGTTGGTCTGGTTAGTGTGTGTGTGTGTGTGTGTATGTTGGTCGGGTTAGTGTGTGTGTGTGTTGGTCGGGTTAGTGTGTGTGTGTGTGTGTGTGTGTTGGTCAGGTTAGTGTGTGTGTGTGTTGGTCGGGTTAGTATGTGTGTGTGTGTGTGTATGTTGGTCTGGTTAGTGTGTGTGTGTATGTGTATGTTGGTCGGGTTAGTGTGTGTGTGTGTGTTGGTCAGGTTAGTGTGTGTGTGTGTGTTGGTCGGGTTAGTGTGTGTGTGTGTTGGTCAGGTTAGTGTGTGTGTGTGTGTTGGTCGGGTAAGTGTGTGTGTGTGTTGGTCTGGTTAGTGTGTGTGTGTGTGTGTGTGTGTGTATGTATGTTGGTCTGGTTAGTGTGTGTGTGTGTGTGTGTGTGTGTATGTTGGTCGGGTTAGTGTGTGTGTGTGTGTGTGTGTGTGTGTTGGTCAGGTTAGTGTGTGTGTGTGTTGGTCGGATAAGTGTGTGTGTTGGTCGGGTTAGTGTGTGTGTGTGTGTGTTGGTCAGGTTAGTGTGTGTGTGTGTGTTGGTCGGGTTAGTGTGTGTGTGTGTGTTGGTCGGGTTAGTGTGTGTGTGTTTGTGTGTTGGTCGGGTTAGTGTGTGTGTGTGTGTGTGTGTGTGTTGGTCGGGTTAGTGTGTGTGTTGGTCGGGTTAGTGTGTGTGTGTGTGTGTTGGTCGGGTTAGTGTGTGTGTGTGTTGGTCGGGTTAGTGTGTGTGTGTGTGTGTGTTGGTCGGGTTAGTGTGTGTGTGTGTGTGTGTGTGTTGGTCGGGTTAGTGTGTGTGTGTGTGTTGGTCGGGTTAGTGTGTGTGTGTGTGTGTGTGTGTGTTGGTCGGGTTAGTGTGTGTGTGTGTTGGTCGGGTTAGTGTGTGTGTGTGTGTGTCTTGGTCGGGTTAGTGTGTGTGTGTGTGTGTGTTGGTCGGGTTAGTGTGTGTGTGTGTGTGTGTGTGTGTGTGTTGGTCGGGTTAGTGTGTGTGTGTGTGTGTTGGTCGGGTTAGTGTGTGTGTGTGTGTGTGTGTGTGTTGGTCGGGTTAGTGTGTGTGTGTGTGTGTGTGTGTTGGTCGGGTTAGTGTGTGTGTGTGTGTGTGTGTGTGTGTGTGTTGGTCGGGTTAGTGTGTGTGTGTGTGTGTGTGTTGGTCGGGTTAGTGTGTGTGTGTGTGTGTGTGCGTGTTGGTCGGGTTAGTGTGTGTGTGTGTGTTGGTCGGGTTTAGTGTGTGTGTGTGTGTGTGTTGGTCGGGTTAGTGTGTGTGTGTGTGTGTGTGTTGGTCGGGTTTAGTGTGTGTGTGTGTGTGTGTTGGTCGGGTTAGTGTGTGTGTGCTTTTGTTTTTGTGATATATGAGGACACAAATGTGTATAATGACATGCATATTACACTGGTATTACAACTTACACGTGATATATGAGGACATTGCATGAATCCTCATATTTCAAATAGCTTAAAAAACATAAAAAACAATGTTTTTTTTTAATGTAAAAATGCAGCATGTCTCCTGTGATGGGCAGGTTTAGGGGTCGGGGCAGTGTGTGTGTGTGTGTGTGTGTGTGTGATGGGCAGGTTTAGGGATAGGGGCAGTGTAGGGGGATAGAATATACAGTTTGTCCAGTATAAAAGTCATTACGCCTATGGAATGTCCTCATATATCACAAAAACACAGCAGTGTGTGTGTGTGTGTGTGTGTGTGTGTGTGTTGGTCGGGTTAGTGTGTGTGTGTGTGTGTGTGTGTGTGTGTTGGTCGGGTTAGTGTGTGTGTGTGTGGTTCAGTTCTGTCCCGGTAGGCTTCGCCTCGTTTAGGTGTTGCTTCAGCTTCAGCTTCGGCTCTTCATGTCCCTGATGGGGAGGATCTTTATATAACTTTGTACTGTTTTTGTTATATGAAGGTCACATTAAAACTTCTGAAAGTCTATATGAAGGTCCAATACTTCACTTTTCTTTTTCTGCTGGCTTCTTCTCAAAAACCCCATAATGGATTTACATAACAAAACATTCAATATTATTATCATAGAAATATGATTCGATTTTAAATTCTATGATAATTTGAAAATATAGAGTTGACATTTTCACACAATAATGTTAATAGTTATCAATAATAATGTTGAAATAGTTATCAAAGAAAATCAAGGTAAATTTATGTTATGTTATTTTAATGCTTTAAGGATTGTGAATTAATCACATGCTTTAACGTATTAATAATATATATATATACACTGTAAAAAAAGTTGCTGCCTTAAATTTTAAGTACAATCAACTTTGATGTTTAAGCCATTTCAACTTAAATTACATTTTCACACAATAAATGTTGAAAAAGTTCAACGAAAATCAAGGTAAATTTATGTTTTGAACATTATTTTTATTGTGAGCTTTTCCAAGCAAACTGTATTGTGTTCTGTATTTTTTCAAATCAAACTGAATTTTTGGTGTAATTTTGTGAAATTATACAAAAAGTGTAAAAGTATCTACTTGTGTGTATTTAGAATACATAAAATCAAGATATGAAATTAGGACACCAAATTTTGCGTGCTTCGGTATTTTCTTTGCGTCTGTGTTAAATTATTTTAATGCATTAAGGATTTTGAATTAATCACATGGTTAAAATATGTTAAACCATGTGATTAATTCAAAATCCTTAAAATTTAAGGCAGCAACTTTTTTTTATCTATGGATTAAAAATTAAGGATTTTGAATTAATCACATGGTTAAAATATGTTAAACCATGTGATTAATTCAAAATCCTTAAAATTTAAGGCAGCAACTTTTTTTTATCTATGGATTAAAAATTAAGGATTTTGAATTAATCACATGGTTTAACATATTAATAATATATATATATATATATATATATATATATATATATGTATATATTACTTATATGTTAAACCATATATATATATATATATTATTAATATGTTAAACCATGTGATTAATTCAAAATCCTTAATTTTTAATCCATAGATTAAAAAAAGTTGCTGCCTTAAATTTTAAGTACAATCAACTTTGATGTTTAAGGCATTTCAACTTAAATTACATTAAACTGGCGTAAAAAAAAGTTGAATCTTGTAGAACTTCTAAAAAAAGTTGAAAATTGCTTAACTTATTTTAATGATTAAACCATATGGTAAAAGTAAACGAGGTAAAAACATATGTTTTCATAACTTATTGATCTTGTAATTTTTTACAGTGTTCATATATAACATTTATTTGCTTGTTTTAGGCAGAGATGGTGAACAACGCCCTGCAGATCCAGCGCTCCTTCCTCAAAATGTCCATGACACACCGAGAGCCAGCAAAGGTAAGAGCAAACCATCGTCTGTGAGGGCATCTCCAGGTGAAACTCGACAAATGAGAATATCCTGCAAAAGTTCATTTATTTCACTGATTCAACTTAAAAGTAGGGCTGTCAAATGATTAATCGCGATTAATCGCATCCAAAATAAAAGTTTGTGTTTACATAATATATGTGGGTGCACTGTGTATAATTATTTTATATATATAAATACACACACATGCTTGTATATATTTAAGAAATATTTTCATGTATATAGATTTATATATCATTTGTATTATATTTAAATATAAATATTTTATATATAAATAATATTTTTTTCTTAAATATACATGCATGTGTGTGTATTTATATATATACAAAATAATTATACACAGTGCACTCACATATATTATGTAAACACAAACTTTTATTTTGGATGCGATTAATCGCGATTAATCATTTGACAGCCCAACTTAAAAGGTGAAACTAATATATTATATAGACTCATTACATGCAAAGTGAGATTTCAAGCCTTTATTTGTTATAATGTTGATGATTATGGCGTACAGCTTATGAAAACCTTTTCACAATATTCTAATTTTGAATTTAAGCTGTACGCCATAATCATCAAAATTATAACAAATAAAAGCTTGAAATATCTCACTTTGCATGTAATGAGTCTATATAATATATTAGTTTCACCTTTTAAGTTGAATTACTGAAAACTTTTGCACCATATTCTCATTCGTCAAGTGTCACCTGTATCTTTAAACTGGCTGTAAATGTGATATTTCACAGTTTTCTGGTCTTGATGTAATCTCTTTGCCATGAAGGACTGTTAGCATATCTCACACTTAGAGTTTGTCATAATTTAAGCTCTATAATATCAATGTTTAGCTTGCCTGAAAGTGTCTCTTCAGTAAAGGACTCGTGTGACTCTGTCTGTGCAGTCTCAACAGAAGCCGGTTAAAGAGCTCATGCCCGGTTACAGTCTTTTTTTTTTTTTTTAACTGTTTTTTACAGTCCTGTTACCCATGTACTTACTATGTACTTATTATACTAATTATAATTACTGGGTAATAACTAGGTACTAACCCTGAACCTACCCCTAACCCATGTACTTACCTTATATTAGCCAGTACTTTATAGGTAAGTACACGTAAGTACTGTACTGTAAAAGGAAGCGTTGCCATGTTTTTTATGTTCAAAAAGCACATTATTTCCCCCCATTTTTGACATTGTTGCAGCTCCTCTCTTAAAACTGAATGTACAGGTGAAACTCGAAAAATTAGAATATCGTGCAAAAGTTCATTTATTTCAGTGATTCAACTTAGGGCCCTTTCACACCTAGCTTGTTTGGTCCGAATCAAAATTACAGGTGTGAAACCTCCCCTGACCGCGGTCCGGACCAAACAGATGAAATTTGGTCAGACCAAAAGAGGTCGTCTCGGCCCGGGTCAAACTGAACAAAGGTTTGGTTCGTTTCTAGTGTGAACGCATTTCTGTATGGTTCGGACTTTCAGACCTTTTACAGGACGCTCCGGTCAGCGCCGCCGCTCCCACCACGCGCTGTGCGTAGGGCACCAAGTGCTGAGGGCGCACCAAAAATAGCCTAATGAAAAACCAATCATCAAACTTCTTGTTATAATCAGATTCAGCGCGTTCTTCCTCTTCATTCCGCAGCGGCGCCGACAGAGACAGAGAGCACGTCAGAAACACAGGACAGGGTGTGTGTGTGTGTGTGTGTGTTCATGTGTGTGTTCATCTGAGCCTCATTGGTCTGTCACTGCTCGTCAATGTCAGAATATTTGAGATGACCAATCAAATCAAAGTAGGCGGGCTTTATGTTCACAGACGCTGAGCGCGAATTTTAACAGTGCGACACGACGCTTCAGTGTACGGTCAAGTGCGAGATAAGATGTAAGTAGCTAAACTTAACTTTATTTGACCGTTTTTTTTTAGGTCATAAATGTTAAACGAATGACAAAAAATAATTAGGCAAACTAATATAGTTTTGTCTAATTTCGCCATTTTGAACTGAAAATAGGCCTATGTAACATGTAGCCTAGTGTAATAGTTTCGGCTACTGTCATTGTGAGGGGACAAGAAACATGAACAAAGCCGTTTTCATCATGTTAGGCACAGGATTTATAATGAATGTGTACATATTGAGAATAAAATACAAATTGTAACCTTTAGTAAATTAAAAAAGCCAACTTTAGGAGGGGAAGAGACAGGGCAAGATAAAAACTAAGAGAAAAAGAGTGTGATGCTGATGAGGAGAGAAAAATAATCAGCTGCCCACTGACATGGCTTTAAAGCTGTTGTTATCTAATTTTTTTTTTTTTTTTTTTTTGCCTTCACAACATCTTTAAAATGCACATTTGTAGTTCAGAAAAATCCCAAATTTCCCCCGAACACCCCTAACTAACCTGCCTCAAATTCGGGATCCCAGTGATTATAAAACCATGCCAGTGCATGGTAATGAAACTAGTTAATAGTAAGCCTAATCTAAAGTGTTACTTTTTAGCTTTTTAATTTTGTTATAAATCATACCCTCATTGGGGGCTTAGCCCCCCTAAATGAAAATCCTAAATGAAAAATGTTTTTTTTTAGGGGGGGGGACTGGGGGGGGGCGGGGGGCATCATAAAGGAATTATGCTTAGGGCACCAAAATGGCTAGCAGCGGCACTGGCTCCGGTGGTTCCCAAATAGCCGAAAAAACAGAAGGTGGCCGGAGAAATGAGCCGTGGCACATGGGGAGAGGAGGAGACGAGGCTTTTAACTGAAGTGTGGTCTGATGACATAAGAAGAAGTCAACTGGAAAAAACGCACAAAAATGCAGACACTTTCCAAATATTTGTCAAAGTTAACCACCGAATTGACAACACGCTGACGTCAGACGCACGTCCATTTACAAACCAATCAATGTCAAGATGCAGCCCACACAGATGATGACGAAGTGTGTCACGTAAAGTTCTTTAGTGCGCTCGCATAATTGCAGTGTGAAACCAAACCAAAACTTTCTGAAAGTATAAAATGTATCAAAACGTGAACTTTGGTGCGGACTTTCAGGTGTAAAAAACGCCCTTTAAAGGTGAAACTAATATATTAGACTCATTACATGCAAAGTGAGATCTGTTATAATTGTTATTTGTTATTATTTTGATGATTATGGCTTACAGCTTATGAAAA